CTGGGTGACAGAGTGAGACTCCAACTCAAAAAAAAAAAACCAACAAAAAACAAAAAATTAAATCATTAGCTGACCGTGGTGGTGTGCACCTATAGTGAGGCTGAGGTAGAAAATTGCTTGAGCCCAGGAGTTCAAGGCTGTAGTGAGCTATGATGGTGCCACTGTACTCCAGCCTAGGTGACAGAAGCACATAAAGGATAGAGGAAGAATGTCAAACATGTACTTAACTGGAGTTTCAGAAGAAGATAGAGATTAGGGCAGACGCAAAATTTGAAGAGCCAAAACTCCAGGTTCAGAAAATTCCATCAAAGGAAGCAAAGTAAATGGACATTTTCACCTAACCTGGTTTGGTGGAACTGCAGAACTTGCCCACTTGTCATGTGGGCAAGTTTATGTGGCACTGGCCACATGCAGCCACAGTAATAATGTCTTAAGGGATAAGAAAAAGGACCCAGAACTACAATGTACAACTCTCATAGTATCTATGGCATGATGGAGTGGAGGTCAAGTATCTACAGTCCTTGTATTGTTGGAAGAAAGGAGACATTGACTAATCTTAGAGCTGAAATGGTATATTAAAAATTCGAGTCGAGAGAATTGCCTGAGTCCGGGGGTTCAAGACCAGCCTGGGCAACTTGGTGAGACCCCATCTCTACAATAAATCAAAAAATTAGCCAGGTGTGGTGGTGTGTGCCTGTGATTCCAGCTACTTGGAAGGTTGGAAGGCCAAGGCGGAAGGATTACCTGAGCCCAGTAGGTTGAAGCTGTGGTGGCTATGAGCATTCCACTGCACTCTAGCCTGGGCAACAGAGACTCTGACACTCTCAAAAAAAAGAGAACAACTATTATAGACAGTGCCTAACTTCCCAAATAACAGAATGAAAAAAGATGCCCACTTCACTCAAAACAAGGTACAAAAAGGGAGAAAGAAAGATAGCAAAGGTGAGACAAAGAGCATGAGTAGAAGCAGTTTCGTCTTTGGATTCTGGGGGTGGGCAGCACTGGCCCATTTGAGGCTCTGATGGAACCTGAGTATATACCCACTGGTGACGGGGCAGCATGCTCCCTGTGGAAGGAGTGGCCACCTTGCCCTGCTTCTGAAGGATGAAGAGCTCTGTATGACAGTTGGGGGAAAAAATGAAACTTACCCCAACAGGTTCTGGTCTCCCAAATAAAATGTTGAACATCCCCAAGGAGAGATGAAGAAAGAACCGCATTTTTGCACGTGTGCATTTTTGTGTTGTACTTTCTCAAGAGGTTGACAGGACCTGGGCAGTCCTGGGATAACCACCATGTCAATGTTACTCCCACCCCAGAAAAGCATACATGAAGTCTCTTTTCATTTGGATACCAAAGCCTGTGCTTAAGGGTGTAATTTTCTTCTTTGAGTTGTACTTTTTCCTTTAGTTTCTACTACATGAAGCACCAGCGTGACGTTTTTTCTGAGTCATCTTTGAGGTTGCCCCTACTAGTTCCTGGACAGCTTTGAGTTGCTAGGTGGAGCTGGGCCGAGGGCCAAGAGGTGAGGTGAGGGGAGGGACAGAAGCACCCCAGACACCTGCCTGGAGGGGATGGGGCCTCTAGAGGGAGACCCAGCCAGGCCCAGCCCTGAGAGCCCCAATTTTGTCAACACAGAGCTGTACCCGGGCATGGTATTGTGCGCCTGCAGTTCCAGCGACTCGGTCGGAAGGCTAAGACAAGTCTGCCAGAGCCTAGCAGGCCGACGCTGGGGCGGCCATGAGCATGTCACTGTACTCCAGCCTGGGGGATGAAGTGAGGCTCCAACTCAAAAAACGGCCGGATGCAGTGGCTCACGCTTATAATCCCAGCACTGAGACTGAGGTGAGAGGACTGCCTGAGCCTGTGGGTTCAAGACCAGCCTGGACAACTTGGCAAGACCCCATCTCTACAATAAATCAAAAAAATTAGCCAGGAGTGGTAGCGCGCACCTGTAGTTCCAGCTACTTGGAAGGCTGAGGCGGAGGGATCGCCTAAGCCCAGCAGTCAAGGCTGCGGTGGCTGGGAGTATGCCACTGCCCTCCAGCCTGGGTGACAGAGTGAGACTCCAACTTAAAAAACAAAAACACCAGAGCTCATTTCTCCAAGACACGCGGCCCCCAGTGTATGTCTATGCTCCACATGCCAGCCCGAACCCCTGGCTTGGTTTTCCTGCCGCAGTCTTTGCCTTCCTAGCTGGTGTGTTCTCACAGTGGCCCTGCACTCTGTGGGGCAGGCTCTGCCATCGTCCTCCCCGCAGCATCCCTCCAGCCCCCCTTCCCGGGGCGCCTCCTGATGTGCACCCCTTCTGCCAGTCATCGCCCTCCACCTAGGCAAGGCTGCTCACTGAGCACCGAGGCAGGGACAACTAGGCGTCTCTAGGCTGGGAGGTCCGGGACTCAGGCAAGTGTTACATCCCGCCCAGTCTCCCTCTTCAAGGGGTTCCAGGCCTTCACAAAGCTTCCTGGAAGTGGAAGGTGGAAAACAAAATGTTTGTGGGTGGTCATCATCACTTCCCTGCACGATTCAACACAGAAACAAAGACAGAAACCAACAATGAAAAGCACTTACTTCGCATGCTTAAAAAGTACAACTTTACATTTTTAGGGTGGGCCCTGCAGAGGGAGGTAGGCCACCCACATCCCATTCCCCAGAGTGCATCGAGGCCTTTTCTGAAATCTGCAGATTCCTTACTGCTTCTGATAACAGCTGTGGACGTCATTTGCTGAGGGACAGAGGTGGGGAGGGTGGCAAAGACCTGGCCCCTGCGTGGCCACACAAGGAGGTCAGAGAAAAGTTTGCTGCTGATACCACTCCTACAATAGGCGACCACCTCCCAATCTCCACCTCGGGGTCTGCTCAGATGCCTGGTTCTTTCTCTGTCTGAATCCATCAGTACTGTTTGTTTCTCTTCTTGGTGCTCTTGAATCCTCGAGATGCACCCTGACCGAAACAGATGGTAGAAGGTATTCTGAAATGGAAAAAGGTTCCTATTAAACAACTATATTTTACTTGCCAATAAACAACCCAACTCATAACAGCAGTCTTGTGTGTGATTCCTTCTAATTCTGGAATGTTCCCTTGCTCTTTTGCTTCATGATGTCCAGGATGTTCAACTGCCCTCCTGGGCCCTGGGCAGCTACCCATCTATGGCCTGTCTCAGAACCACTTTCTGTGGGAGATGATCCCAGTCAGCAGCGTATACCTGCTCAAAAGATCTCAGCTGAAAAGGCAGCTCCTGCCAAGCTTTCTGGAGCTTAGACTTCCTGTCATCCACCTGGCTGAAACCCTAACTGCCCCCTCCCCCCAGGACTCACTCACAGGCCAACATCTAGGCAACTGTGAGGTCACTGAGGGACACACAAGTTCATCTTCCTGTCTGGATTCTTTGGTGATTTTTTTTTGCCATTTGTTCCACACTTCTCCCAAATTAGATTTGGAATCAACATCAACGCAGTAAAAGCACAGTTAGTACAGTTAGTATTAGGAGTCAGATGCCTGGGTTGAAACAGAAGCAACTACAAGCAAGGATCTTCCCATTCCAGCTTAGACGATGAAAGGGGGATGGTGCTTTGCATTCCTGTGCTTCAGGGATTCAAAAACAGCATACACAAAAGAAACGAAGTTATTCAAAGAATTTAAATATTCCGCTTTTGTTTCTAGCAGAAACCAATATTCTCACCCACAGTTACTCATTCTCAGAGAAGAACCCTGGTCTAGGGTCAAACCCAGAATTCTCAACACCAACCACACGTGAGAACTTGTTTCACAAAGATGTTGGGCACTAACCTACGACTATAGGTCCGCCTTTCACCCATGGGAGTTGCAGAGCTGGCCACAGGTTCAGAGCAGACTTCCATCGCCTCCCCTTCCAGCTGTTCCCTGTCATCCCTCAGGGCTTCCTCTGAGGTGCTGGTGCCGGCCCTCGGTGTGGCTGGGCTGCAGAGGACAGAACAGTGAGCAGCAGCTCCACATGGCTCCTGCAGCACTGGTTTTTTCCAGAAATGAACTTGTGAGAAACAGACTATATATCTTCTGCTTTTCTTTGTAAGTAAGAGATTTTTCTCAAGTCTAACCTTACAGTGTAGTTTTCAGGCTACTGGGAAAAGGAGAATGATCACAGTAAGGTCATTGTTTATATAATGAAGGCACCACAGCCTCTACCTGTATAGTTAAATCTTATAAATTTAACTATAACAATTACACTGTCTTTTGAAAACAGTGTTTTTATGGTGCCACATAGTAAATGCCCACCAACAGTGCTGTATTTTTTTTTTTTTTATGAGCAGGAGAAATTTACTAAAAGCAACTAGAGGCCAGGGTGCAGTGGCTCAAGACTGTAATCCCAGTAGTTTGGGAGGCTGAGACGAGAGGATTGCCTGAGCCCAGGGGTTCAAGACCAGCCTGGGCAACTTGGCGAGACCTGTCTCTACAATAAACTTAAAAAAAATTAGCTGGGTCTCTGGTGGCGCATATCTGTAGTTCCAGTTATTGGAAGGTTGAGGTGGAAGGATCGCCTGGGTCCAGCAGGTAGAGGCTGTGGTGGCCAAGAGTGTGCCACTGCCCTCCAGCCTGGGCAACAGTGAGACTTCAACTCAAAAAAAAAAGAAATAACACTATTTTCAAAAAAGTAACTCTATAAAACAGTCTCTTCTCTAATACTAACAACTTAATCTAGTAGACTCCAGTCTGGAACTTGTCACTCTTCACTTTTTTTTTTTTAAAGAGTTTTGCTCTGTCACCTAGGCTGGAGTGCAGTTGTGTGATCATAGCTCACTGTAGCCTTGAATTCCTGGCTGAATGATCCTCCCGCCTCAGCTTCCCAAACTGCTGGGATAACAGGCATAAGCCACCGCACCTGGCTTAGGTTTTTCTCCTTAAAATGATGCCTCAGAAAACAGAATTACCGTATATCTGAGTCCTTACAAAGCCTCCCATATTACAGTGGGTTCCCGCAGCTATCTTAAACAGCAAAGTACTATTTGAGAAAATTTAGTCTGAACAGGTTTCAATGAATGCAATTTTAGATGGTTTTGAAGCTTCACTTGAAAAGAATCACCAAAAAAGAGGCAAAAAAATGAGTGTAATTTAAGAATTATTCCTGGAAGTATTTTCCCACGGTGTTCTGTAAACAGCAATGTGTCAGTAAATGCTTTTGTTGTCAGGTACGTAAACATATACCCACAGGACAGAGGGCCTCATGGGAGAGGAGGGCCTCATGGCCTGGGGCAAGTTCCCAAAGGCTCAGCCTGGCTTCAGAAGGCTGCAGCATGTGAGTGGAGCTGACTGCTGCGGGAGAGGTACAGGCATAGCCATGAGGGGTGTGAGAGCAGGAAATGCAGTGGCCAGTCTTTCCTACACCCTCTTTGTGGCTGCCTCCCAGAGCAGGGGAAGCTAGTGGTTCCCCCCCACTCTTCCTCAGCAGGGTGGCCACATGAAAAACCACGCAACTGTGTTGTCAGGATTTTAGTTATCTGAAGAGAAACACAACACTAAGTGATAGCAGATGCTTAACTGTCCATTTAAGTCCTAAAAGTCTACGTGTTTTGAGTTAACCAAAGGCTTGTATGAAATCAAGGGGTAGTCACATGCTAAAACTTGGCGTCTCACGTACCCTTTGTTTTTCTTTGGCTTATCAAACTGGAAATCTGTGGGGTACAGGTGAAGCCTCACCATGTGATCCTTCCGGTCTTTGCTTGTCTTGAACTTCTCTGTGCAGCCTTCTACCAAGCACTGGTACTGAAATGGAAACACAGTCACTTCCCTCTGACCCCTAGCCCTCCCCCCACCATGATGCCTCCTGGCTGGGCATGCCAGGGGCAGGGAGGTATCCCCCAACCTTGCCCTGCTCCCGAGACCTGAGGGCAGTGCTCTAAGGTTGTCGTTACTGGATATGGCCTCCATGGTTGTGCAGGTGTCACTCACCATGTCCTGCCTCTGGGACAGGATCTGAAAGAGTGAATCGTGCCACTCCAGGATGTGGGCATCCAACAGGTGTCCAGAGGGAAAGGCCCGTTTGCAAAAGGAGCAGACGTTTCCATGCAGCGTGTGATAGTGGTGTTCATAGTCGTCCAGGGCATCAAACACCTGGCAGCATCCTGCCACCCGGCAGGCAAACGCAGGCACCCTGGCAAAGGAAACCAGTTCGAGGGGTGCCAACCCTACTGGTGACAAAGAGCCCAAGCTGGACTTTCTGGCCGCAGTTTCCCTTGAAGAAGTCCCACAAAGCTCCAATGCTTCTGCAATCTCAAGCCCTCTTTTTATGAATTAAGTTAACAGGCTACGTGGAGGAGGGCCCGCCACAGCAAAGCTTGGACAGTGCAGCGCCTCCGTGGGGAGGCCGTGCAGGGTGAGGCGGCGCTGCAGCCCCCAGGCACGAGGCGCAGGGTGCGAAGAGGCAGGGGCTGGCACCAGCCCGGCGCTGCCAGCCGCTCACCTGGGCCTCTCGGGCGCCTGGGCCACCTGTGTGAGCACATCTTGGAGGTAGAGGTGACGCTGCACGTCCCCGTCCTGCAAGAGACTCGGCGGTGGGCGCGACCGCG